TATTAAACAGCATATATTCACATAAGTAATTTAAAAAATTAAAGAAAAATAGTATCTACTATAGATTAAAAAAAAAATAAAATTATAACACTCGCTCACTAATTATATCGATTAGTATGCCGTAGAATTAAATTTTGCAATTGAAAAACATCAAAGCATTGCCGATTACAAAAGAACGCATGAGGCGGAAAATAAGTTTCCTTTTGTCGTCTAAAAGGAAAGAAAAACGAAAAATTGAACTTCCTTAGAGCACATATGTATCAGGAGAGCAGAAACGCATGAAAATTTTCCAGCCATGGCATGTGTGTTTCCACATAGAACATATATACATATGTGTATAAACGGTGAGCACGCACTCGGATCGAAATATACGTTATAGGTGCACATGTGTGTTCTGAGTTTGAAGGCGCAAATGCGAAAATATTGTTGGGTGTTAACTTTAAAATTTATTATTTAAAATCGCCCATCACTTCATATACAATATGTATTAGGTACATATTGTTAAATGATAAACATAAATAATACACGGTCTTATGTTTAGGTTTTCTTCCAGGTGGGTAGCATCGAAATATATTTTTCAGATTGCGAGCGTATCAGAACTGCATAACATAACAGAAAGTAGTGCGAATTGTGGATTTTATCCTAGCAATAGCTTCAGGAGCAATTCGTAAAATATGCCACTAAAATTTTCGCCTTTTACGACCCCTTTACTTCACTTTTCGTTATGCTGCTTCAAATGTTAATTAAACAAAAAAAAATAATAGGTAGTTAAGAAAAAAATTAAAATAATGTTGATAAACCACGAATGTGACGTTTCCTTAGGCATTAGACCTTAGACCCCCCTCTACGTCCTTGTCACATCTCGTCAGACTAAGCAGTACTACTTCCACCACACTATTTTACTATAGGGTCCTTATTGTAAAAGGATTTAAAAACTTATTTTTTACAATATACGTTAAATTTAAATGGTAAAGACACCTATGTAGATGTAAATATTAAAAACAGAAGAAAAAGCTCATGGTAATTAGTATCTTACCGAAACCGTCAGATATGTCAAAAGCTTAGCAATAAATCAAAAAACTCTTTTGTTAATTTTAACAGAACATACAATAGAATTAGAACAGTGTATTTTGTACCAGTTTTTAATAAGAAATGTTTTGAAAATTCATGTTCATTGCTTGTATTTAATTAAAGTTGGCCATAAAAATATTAAAATACTTAATCCAACAAAAAGCGCCATTGTATTATTATCATAGAGCTCAACCCTCTGATCCTTTCAAGAAATAAATGAATAAATTTTCACCATAATAGCTACAACTTAAATTTAGGTGAATTTATTTTATAAAATTGTTGTCGATAATATTGACAATGTTAAGTGCATTTTTAGTTTAGACGTTGACGTTAACCTTCGAAACAATCCTGATCCTGATTCTACCCCTGTATTCCCTCTTAAATAGCCTTTTGCGCCAGTGACAATTTCAGTAAAAGGTTTTCACGTGTTGTATTAAGCACAAACTGACTATTTACTTACAACAATGATCATCATCATTATCATCCGGAGGTAACGGTTTCATACAACAATGAAAAATTACATAAAAAGTCATTTACTGATTTTCGTGCTTTCTGAGACCTTAAAGACTGATAAAAATTATTATTGAAATACCAAAAAGTAACTTAAATGAATAATACATAAAATTAATTAATTTAACATACCACCCTTTTTTATATTTTTAGCGATGGTAATTTTGAAAATTCATTTTATAATGTATGATATCATTGTATAAGAAACCTTTGAGTAAAATTTCAAGCTTCCTGAGTCAGCGTCGTGGGGTGTACTTTGATCGATACATCCTTCAGGGGTTGAATTTTAAAAATCCTTTCGTTTTATACCAATATTTACATGTTATTACTAATCCGAATTTCGTTTATTTTCAAATCGATATTGAGAATTAATAGCAAATCCCGTTTCTTTTACTAGCGGATAAAACGTATTAGGTTCGTGTAGTTCATAATTTCTAATTGGATTGCCATAATATACAACAATGGTTGCACAATTGGTAAATCGTGTTTTGTGTAAAGGTAAGGCACTGATCTTATTAGTTATTCAAAATACTTGCACATAATAGTAACAGAGTGTCCTTGATTTGGCTAATATCCTAGCGATATTTGCATAGACACTAGATACGTTAGTTAAATGCAAGAATGATGTTCCAGGATATTAGCTTTGTACCTTAAAAGCTATGCCATACTTCCACATTAGATAAAAACTTATGACAACAAAAATACCTAATTCCATTTTATAAAAATTAAAAATTTAAATGAAATTACTACACAGGAATTTATAAAAATAAAAACTTAACGTTAATAGGTTTTTACACACATTTTACCTACTTGATAACTACACATTCTTACACTTCCTTTATTATAAATATTAAATATCTAACGTTTGTGTATATTATATACACATCTATAACTAACTGGAAAGTGCAGGTTATCCTTATGATAAATCTGGACATGTGGCTCGTATTATATAATACTAGCTTTTCCCTGCGGCTTCGCTCCCAGAAATTAATATTCTTTCTCCATAAAACCTTTTAGCTCCCAATTCACCCTTACAACGTTTTAATTTTGTGTAATGTCGCCATCTTTCAAATACAAACGTAGCAACAACATTTCATCCTTAAGGGTTGATTTTTAAAAATTGCCAAAACACGTATTTGCTTAATTTCAGCAATGAGCATCCTTCGAGTAAATCCGAGTACAAATAAAATGTAGCCCATGGAAACGTTGCAACCTCTTTTCATTTGATTAATAATATCAAACAGCATATATACCAAGTTTCAAGTAAATTCAACCATAAATAAAGTATGTCCCAAACAAAAATTGCAACACCTTTCCCTTTTTTAAATTGTCGAGATAGATCTTTCAGAAATTAAATGAGAGACCATTAAAACAAAGTTTCAAGTAAATCTGATCACAAATAATATGT